AATAAGAAGGTACTACTTACCAGCTGTAAATGTGATTCGTTGTTTATTATTCAAGTTTGTCAACAGATGCCACATATTCACAGGTTTATCAGGTTTTCGAATGATCGAATGTTTCCAATCCAGCAAGTGAGTTTTGATGACACCATGTTTCTTGACCGATTCATGGTGCTGTACTTGTTCCACCTTTTCATTATCTGACATTTTGTTTAAAATAAAAAGAAAAGAGAAAGAGAAAGGAAAAAATGAATTAAAAGGGGGGGATCATTTTATGTTAAACTCCGTCGTACGAAAAAGGATGATTTTTAACTCTGGCGGGATTCGAATTTATGTGGGGGTGGGGAAATTAAGCCCTATTTGGCGGTTTTATGATCCCATCACACTTTGCATATGAGAAAGAAAAAAAAAAAAAAGAGAGAGACACACACACAAGTCAACTAGATTATGTCCCCTCTTGATACATGCTTTTTTTGTACACAAAAGATCAAGACGATGGACAAAAATAAAAGAGAAAGAGTTCATAAATAGGACGAATCCTAGTGTTTCATGATCAAGTTTCTTTTTCTGGTTTTCTCACACCGACAAACAATCTTCCGATTTCCCAATAATGTCAAGAGATAAGATGTGATACAGAATCAGATGAATGTTTATTAAAGTTTACAAGATACAGCCAACCAAAAAAAAAAAAAAAAAAAAAAAAAGTTGACTCCAATAGGATTACAATAATATATACTGGTCTAACGTTCTAATCTACCTATCCACCTGATCAGTTTCCGATGCTTGTTTTTCCGCATATTTCTTGGTAATTTTTAAAAAGTGTGTCCCATAGCGTTCGTACTTGTTATCATCAATACCAGTGAGTTCCATAAATGTCCTGATTACAGCCGGGAGTTGAGTCGCCATCACCTTCAATTCATTGTCCGTAAAAATCGTGCTTGGTTTGGCCAGTTTGTTCCGAGCTTTCAACTAAAAGAGAGAGGTAAAAGTGAGCAATCATGTTTTCATCCTGGTTATTCACTTGGTCTTACCTCGTTTCGTAAATTCACCATTTCGTGGTAGCAATCAGTTTGTATTTTCAAGATTCCTGCTGGTATGGGTGCTGGTGCTATTGGTGCTGTAGTCCGTGGTACAAGTGACTGTAAGGTAGATGGAAGAGATCGCCCTGATGGTGTAACGGTTTGCGTTGGGAGAAATCTTTGTGGTGGTAATGGGTTAGTTTGATGTGATCGTGGGTAAGGTAGTCTTGGGGTTGGTCGTGTTGACGAGGACGATGCAGATGCATTGGATCGAGGTGTTGCCTGCTCAAGAAGGAATAGTAATTAGTAACAACAGACTTTTTTTTTTTTTTTTTTGACAACTTGCTTTATTTTCAACAACTTCACGCATAAAAACGGTATCTTCGCCAGAGAGTAATCTGTGTGCCTTTTCCCCCAGAGTGATATACGTGTTGTTGAAGCCCTTGTAATTTGCCTCGGTATAGATTAATAAATAATCCAAAGACAACAGATGTTGAGCCAGTCTAGTAGCATCGTGTTTCGTTAGATGGCTCCCTTTACCAAATTGTTCCGACAGAGTGTATCCCTTTTCCACAAAAGCCTTCTTTTTCAGTCCGCGGAAGGTGTCAACCAGTTGTATCAAGGTGATTTTGTCGTTTTCATGCCCATAGCCGCCAGAGGTTCCCATGTTTCTCCCCACGTCTTGTAATAGCTTCAGCATACATCGAGCTTCCATTGTTACATCCTTGTCAAAAGCCAACTTGCCTCGGTTCTTAATACAGTTGTCGCAGACAGGTGCCAGGCATTGGGCGGGATCAAACACTTCACCAAAGTAAGCCAACACTTGCTTGCGTCGACAGTCCACAGTGTTTTCACAGTATTGCATCATCGAGTTGAGATTATCCAGTTGACATTTCTTTTGATCGTAGCCACCTTCACCACTGTCGATTAAAGCTCGATGAGTCCTGGAATCTGCATAGGAGTAATACAGTCGACACGTCGCTTCCAATCCATCCCGTCCAGCACGTCCTGTTTCTTGATAGTAGCCTTCCACTGATGATGGTATAGAGTAATGTATCACAAAGCGCACGTTTGGTTTGTCAATCCCCATACCAAATGCAATGGTCGCCACAATCACCTGGTATTCGTCGTTTTGCCATTTCTGTTGTGCTTCGGTTCGTTCTTCTTGGGTCATACCTGCATGATAGTGGGCGGTCCGGATGCGGAATGTGTCACGGAGTTTACTGGCAACGTCTTCACAGAGTTTCTTCGATACACAGTATATGATTCCACATTTATTCCTGTACCGTGTTGATATAAACTGATTAATGTCGTCCAATCGGTCGACGTGTTTAGTGCAGTTGTGAACGATTTCATACCTGTCAAAACAAAACAGAAAAAAAAAAAAGTGAGTTTGTTAGTCGTTTTTCATCGAAAACAAGTAGGATAGATCACTTACTTTAGATTCGATCTGTTGAAGCTTTGTTTAAACACCTTGCAGCCAAGAATGTTCAGATTAACCATTAAATCATGTTGTACCCGTTGATTGGCTGTGGCAGTTAATGCAATAATAGGAATACCAGGATATATCGTCTTCAGGTTGCCGAGCAGTTTATAGTCTGGTCGAAAGTCATGACCCCATTGAGAGACACAGTGCGCTTCATCGATGACAAACCTGGCCAACCGGTTACATTCAAAAAGCCGCTGAAGAGTGTTTTGGAACGCATCGGATCGTTGAATCATTTCAGGGGTCACATACACCAGTTGGAGATGAGGATTACGGCCAGCCAATCCTGCATATACTGCCCGCCGATTTTCTAGTCCAACATGGCTTCCCAATAGTTCAGCCGGAATCCCACGCTGTTTCAAGTGCTCCACTTGATCTTGCATCAAGGAGAGGAGAGGAGAAACCACCACCGTCACACCGATCCGGCATTCTTTGTCACCATATTTGCCTTGCTGCATTGTTGCAGGAAGTTGATAACACAGACTTTTACCCCCGCCGGTTGGCATCAATACAAATACGTCTTCCCCGTTGAGTGTGGTGTTGATGGCTTCCAGTTGATGCCTCCGAAAGTCGGTCAGATTAAATACCTGAGTGAGGACACGCCGCACATCTTTCGACCACGGATAATTATCTTCTGTAGCTGGTGGATGATATACAGTTGTTTGAGTGCATGATGCTGTTGAAGGCAGAGGCTGTACCTGATCTATACGCATGTTTGTAGAAGAAGATGGTGTAGTTGTTATATTGCATAAAGATGTAGCTGGTGGATGATACACAGGTGTTTGAGGGCATAATGCTGTTGAAGGCAGAGGCGGTACCTGATCGGTACGCATGTTTGTAGAAGAGGATGGTGTAGTTGTTGTATTGCATGAAGGTGTACCTGGTGATGAGTATGCTGGTGTTGTTGTTGGTGTAGCTGACGACCTTGATAGAAAGTATGGAGAGCTGTTTGTTCGTTCCTTGACATCCGATCTTCCCCCTTCCAGATCAATCATCCGCTTCAGATCATCGATTGCCTTGGTCAATGCTTGGCTAAATCAATCAAAAAATGTAAATAGCCGTCCTTATCTATATCGTTTTTTAATTACCCTTCAGACACCAAAGAGGACATTGTTTCAGGATCAGTGGTGCGGAATACCTTGACGCCTATTTCTGATTGTTTTCGTTCGAGATCCGCTAGTTGTTCCCGAAGACTTGTATTGGTGGTGTTGGTATCCAGATCCATGTCATCGTCAAAGTGATTGTCGAGCTAAGAAAAAAGAAAGAGAGAGAGAGAGTCAGTAACCACGCTGTATATCATTGCCCCACCTTATAAATCCTCCTTTTACCATAAAGCCATTGTCGAGCTATAGAGAGAGAGAGAGAGAGAGAGAGTCAGTAACTAGATTATATTGTATTGCCCCACTTTATAGATCCTCCTTTTACCATAGAGTCTTCAGGCCCAAAGTCATCGTCATATTCAAGGTTGGACAAATCGTCAAATGGTACAGCCACTTGTCCCAAAGATGTTGGTTGTTCAAAAGTTGTGCTGGGGACAGGGTCAATAGCATAATTGCTGTCATTGTATGTTGTCTGTTTTGGCCGTTTACTGTTGAGTGGCAAGTGGTTGTTGTTGGTATCATGATCTAGAGAGTTGCTGGTTCTTGGGTATATTGAGGGAGGGCTGGGATCTTGCTCCAGAGGACGTTTCTTCGGGTCGCTGTTGAGGGATGAATAAATCGTGTAAGACTTTGCTGGTATTAAAGAGTTTTGTTTGATATTCTCCTTGTACCAAACTAATTGTTCAGCAATGTTTGTTTTCATGGATCCTAAATTAATCGTCGTGTGAATAGCGGGAAGGAGGAGGCAAACCGGAAACGGAATTGATAAAAAAAAAAAAAAAAAAAAAAAAAAAAAAAAAAAAAAAAACTCGTACGCGAGATCCGGATTCAAGCCCCGCATGTTTGTCAGGCACAATCCGTCTCACCTTTCCTGTCTCGCAGTATATTTTACTATCTTTCCTATAGAAACTAACTTTTGGTACTAATTGTGAAATATTACACTAGATAATAACTGTTTCAATGATTTGGAAACAAACTTTCATTTATACTGAATCAATGTGTCACTCTACCAGACCAGATATACTGTTACTTACAAACAACTTGGTTGCCCATTAGTAAAACAATATCAAACCCTTCATTAAAATATGCGTAAACCTAAAAAAATCAATCGATGATTACATGATTGCTCAAACAAGTCTCCACACTTTACATCAGATGAATTGAAATGGTGAGGGAAATGTCTTCCATTTTTGGAAGTATTCGTGCATTCGCATTATTTGTGTTCTACTCGACCGAAAAAAAAAACCCTCATATAATACAAGACCAGAAACTAGTAGAAACATGTCCTAATACCATCATCGAAAAAAAAACAAAGTCGAAGCATGCCTTTGTCATCATCAAGATCAACAGAGAATTGAGAATATTTAAACTCCACTTAAAAGTTATAAGCGGCAAAAAGAGTAGCTTGTGGAAGTTTCGATCCTCCGACCTATGGGTTATGGGCCCATCGCTCTTCCCCTGAGCTAACAAGCTATCAACTGAAAAAAAAATTTGCATGTGCTATATAAAGAATAGTTTAAAAATTAAGTCACGTGATATATGTTTGCCTTTTTAGTCTTACTTATCCATATAAAACAGTCGTTTCCCCCTTTATTTTGAGTCCTACACACACCTATCACTTAAAAACAACATGTTGGATCATAGTTAATTGTGATAAAAGTTTATTATAAAGCAAAATGTAGTTTATGATGCAGTTTAAAGTGTATATATTAGAGAAGGATTAAAAGAGAAATAAAGGCATAATAAAACTCGTACAAGTATACTAAGAAGATCTATATGTGTAGCTAGTCTATCATTGTATATGTTGGTCACGACGACCGTCCATCTTGGTATAATCTATTTGTCCCCTCAAAAAAAAAAAAAAAAAAAAGATCAAGCCATTATGATGTCGAAGTTCCCCCCACTTTTTGACATTATTATATTCATTCGATCCTACCCAACCAATTGAGCCACAGTTGGGATACCACTAGTAAAGCATAACAAATGGACATTAGATGTACGTCAGATACCTTCATCACACAAGACAATGGCAGCATGTCCAGACAGAGACTTGAATTCATTGTATATAAGATAGTGGTCTGTCGAGTTGTTGTTGCTGTTGCTGTTACTGCGACATAGGTGCGGGAGCTATCAACTAGTTCAACATCGTGGAGTATCGGTATCGAGTTGCAGGAGGAACTTCAGTATTGGGTTAAAGTACATTGGTTCTACAAAAAAAAAAAAAAAAAAAGCATACAAGGTAATCAGTTAAACAAGTTTCCGCCTTGAGTAATAGTAAAATCTTTGTCGCTTACCTTGATCATCATCCACAAGTCCCAGCCATTCCTTCGTCGATACAATTATCTTTGTCATTCCTTATTGTGTCCAATATCTTCTTGAATCCATAGCTATTTAATATAAAAGTATTGTGCTTCCTATATTACTTACTAGAACGGTTTCACGTTGATATTGATGCAAGGCCAACCGGTTCCACTATAGCTGATAGACAAAAGTGGATTTAAAACCTACGTGAGATTAGTGTTCCATTAAAGACGAGTGGTTCTGAGTTGAGCTTACCAAACTAAAGAAGCCGCATATTTGCCAGTGTTACCCAATACCATCAGGTGGGGTTACGTTTTTTTGCATATTGGTCGATTTTAGAGGTGGTGTAAAGAATAAAAGAGGAAGACCAAAAAAAAAAAAAGGTGTCAAATATACCCTACATATTAAAATCCCGACAATAGACAAACAAGACAAGGTTAAAAGACATATCAAGATATAAAACCATATCATTTTATTGATTAAAGACATTTCTTTTTATTGAAAAGTATAAAAGGGAATGAAGAGGAATACATACAGATAGGTGTTTTTGAGGGAAGAGAGGGATAAAAGACGGGGATGTGGGGAGGGGGATTTTAAAAAAACTGTACAAACAAACACCCGATTTTCCTTGTTATGTTAATGTGTGTTTAAGGGGGGATAAGACTAATCTAAGAACGTTCACCACGAAGACGACGAGCCAATTGGATATCCTTGGGTTGAATAGTAACACGCTTGGCATGGATGGCGGCCAAGTTGGTATCTTCAAAGAGAGAGACCAAGTAAGCTTCGGAGGCTTCTTGAAGAGCACCAATAGCAGAAGATTGGAATCGCAAGTCAGTCTTAAAGTCTTGAGCAATTTCACGGACCAAACGTTGGAATGGCAATTTACGGATCAACAATTCAGTGGACTTTTGATAACGACGGATTTCACGAAGAGCAACAGTACCAGGTCGATAACGATGAGGCTTCTTGACACCACCAGTAGAAGGAGCAGACTTGCGGGCAGCCTTGGTAGCTAATTGTTTACGAGGGGCTTTACCACCAGTGGATTTACGAGCTGTTTGCTTGGTACGGGCCATTTTTTGTTGTTTGTTTTGTAAAAAGGTATAAAAAAAGGAAAAGAGAGACGAAAAAATGGTATGGACGTTGGTTTGGTTCATTTATTGGGGTTGTTCAAATCCCGACAAGCACGCGAGCCTCCTTTTTTTTTTTTTCTTGATTGTAAATAAGAAAAAGTGCCGCGGTATGTATGGTGGATCGTCGCGCATCCTCTTTTTGGACCATATGTTTTTTTTTTTTATATTACCTTTTCCTTACTATCAACATGATCAATCAAAAGAAACCAACATTCCTTAACAAAGAAATCACATTCTTGAACTAGTGGACATTTATTCATTTTTTTTTTTTTTTTTTCGGATGAGCCTGGCTGTTTCTTTGTATTGATTTCAAAGTTAACCATGTGTAGGGTTACTTTTTGATGATGTAGGGTGATCCGATGGATCATATGAGTGACGCGCTGCAGGCACCCCCATCTTCTCCGAAAAAAAAAAAAAAAAAAAAAACTTTATAGTAAACCACGAGTATGAAAAAAGGCGGGAATTGAAAAATTTTGGGGGGCTGTATAAAAAATAACTTTCACTTGTGCTCCTTGTTTTTCCTTTTCTTTTCTTCTTTTCTCACTTTTTTTTATTTTATATATTCAATCATAATGGCTGGTCGCGGTAAAGGTGGTAAAGGTTTAGGAAAAGGTGGTGCCAAGGTAAGAACAATGAAACAAAGAAAAAAGAATACAACAACAAAAAGTAGTGGATCGACTGACTAATTGTGCTTTTTTTCTTTTCTCTTGTAGCGTCATCGTAAAATTCTTCGTGATAACATTCAAGGTATTACCAAGCCTGCTATTCGCCGTCTCGCTCGTCGTGGTGGTGTCAAGCGTATCTCTGGTCTCATCTACGAAGAAACCCGTGGTGTCCTCAAGGTCTTCTTGGAAAACGTCATTCGTGATGCTGTTACCTACACTGAACACGCCAAGAGAAAGACTGTTACTTCTTTGGATGTTGTCTATGCCCTCAAGCGTCAAGGCCGTACCCTCTATGGTTTCGGTGGTTAAATATCTCCTTACTCTTTACATATCTTCTAGTCCCCATATAAAAACACATCCATCTTTATTTTACCCCCACACACAACACACATCTTTATCTCTAGTCTGTATATAAATTTGATCCCAAAGTCTTCAAATAAAATGATAATGAAAACAACCAAATCTTGTCTTTTTATTTTTATTTTAAATAGATGTTGTAAATTAGATTATATATACAGTTGTTGTTGTAGCACATGTGTTAATGACATATACCTGATGATCATTCATTGCATTGAATTTTTATAAACAAATCTATACAAAGACGATCATCCCAATCAAAATGACCAAAGATAATAGTATACCATAAATAACCATTTCCGATCCATCCAACCCAACCCATTGACAACATTAAAGAATGGATGATATATAAAAAAAGATAACTTTATTGTGTAGTTTTTCCCTTTTCATGATCACGAAAAAAAGCTATGTACATATATAATAATAAAAGATGTTTAACAATGGGGAATTGTGTAGAAGTTATTGTTTGTGGTAAAGTGATGACTAAAAAAAAGGTGGGTGGGGAGAAGGTTTTTTTTTGTAAGTGGAATCCAGAGCAAGACACCTAGAGTTCTTGAGAAGCAGCACCCTTCTTCTTGGTAGGCAAGAGGTTGGCGTGGATGTTAGGAAGGACACCACCTTGAGCAATAGTGACATGACCCAAAAGCTTGTTAAGTTCTTCATCGTTACGGATGGCCAATTGCAAATGACGAGGAATGATACGAGACTTTTTGTTGTCACGAGCAGCGTTACCAGCCAATTCGAGGATTTCAGCAGTCAAGTATTCGAGGACAGCAGCCAAGTAGACGGGAGCACCACCACCGATACGACCAGCAAAGTTACCATTACGCAAATGACGATGGATACGACCGACAGGGAATTGTAAACCGGCCTTGGAAGAACGGGTTTGAGACTTGGAGCCAGATGCAGATTTACCACCAGATTTACCACCAGACATGTTGATTATATGTTATAATGAATTAAAGAAGAGAGAGTTGGAAAAGAAAAAAAAGGAAGAAAAAGACCCGAATGAGTAGAGCCCCGCCTTATATTTATAAGTGTCGGAGTGCCCTCTCTTTCACTTTTTTTTTCCTCCCCTTTTTTGACGGTTAGACTCCGCTACGCGTCATGGCAACCAGACTTGTTTTCAGTATTAAAATGACAAATGATACAATTGTATAGCAAACATTTTTTTTTCTTTGGAAGATGTTTTCATCAACGTGTGGGACCGTGTCAAAACGTGGTAGTTTCGTGATATCTATTATTTAATACAAAGATATGGATGATGGATACATTCATCTTGGAGGGGTGTGATGTCGGGGTTTGGAAAAAGTTTTTGGCTCTCCCTTTTTTTTTTTTTTTTTTTTTTTTTTTTTTTTTTTTTCGCTCATTCCCCATCAATATGAAATCTCCGTCGAATATAAAAAGGAGACCAGACAAAAAAAATCTTTCTTTTTTCCTTTTTTCACACACACACTTTTTATTATACATATACAATGGCCCCCGCTGGTAAAGCTCCTGCAAAGACTGTCGAAAAGAAGACCAAGGCTGATGGCAAGAAGAGAAAGGCGTCTCGCAAGGAATCTTATGCCTCTTACATTTACAAGGTTTTGAAGCAAGTCCATCCTGATACTGGTATCTCCAACAAGGCCATGTCCATCTTGAACTCCTTTGTTAACGATATCTTTGAACGTATTGCCACCGAAGCTTCCAAGTTGGCTGCCTACAACAAGCGCTCCACCATCTCTTCTCGTGAAATCCAAACCTCTGTCCGTCTCATCCTTCCTGGTGAATTGGCCAAGCATGCTGTGTCTGAAGGTACCAAGGCTGTCACCAAGTACACCTCTTCCAAATAAATGGTAGAATTCCAATTACCCCCTCTTCTACAATTTATTGCATTATCTACCTCTAGTTAGTTAGTTAATCATTTTATCCATTCCCCCCATCTATCATCCTTTTTATTGATGTAGCTTTTGCCACATTTGTACAGAAAAAAAACACAGATTTAGTCTTTTATCTATCATTCATTTGATCT